TTTTGGTTATTCTTTTGGTAGGAATTTTTTTGCACAAAATCACCCTTGTAAAGATTCAGAAAATGGCTGCAGACAGACGTTGATAATTCCAGAACCGAATTGAACCCTTCTGTACAAAACCTTTCGGAGACCAGCAGTTAGTACACCGTCACCTTCAACTTCCAAATTTGATGAAATCTCGCATATTTCAATGCAGTCTTCGTTTACCAGAGCTTTTCTCATTCAACGCCCGAGTCCTCGTTCAGTGCAACATGGTTGCCGGAAAGTGAACACATGAAAGTTGGGGTCTAATTGGTACGGCAGGGAAGGTAGCCACGAGGACGGCCTGATGCTGACGAAATGGGGTCCTCGTGCAGCCTTTTGATTTTTGATGCTGAATTCGTTGCGCGACATTTGGCACCATCAACGTGCTCAGCCTCTCCACACCAGGGCCAGAGCCCAGATAGATAGGCCAGCGGTTGGACCAGGGTCAAGCGTGCGTTGAGGAATCCTCGACAGGTCAAAGGGGGGGGGGTCGTATTTCCAAATTTTCCTCGACGGTTCGCTTGACCCTGGGTTGGACACCCATTTAAAGGTGGCGTGGTGAGGTGAATCTCAAAGAGAAAGGTGGGAGTGTTTGGTGGTGTTAAGTCGCTATGAGCGCTTTGGCTAGATTTTATGCAAAATGGGATATTTTATCTTCTTGAGCAGCCATATTATCATACCACTGCCTTCAATGAGAAGAAAGAGCACGTTCCTTTACAGTTCTAACTCTTCCATCGAGAGCATCGGTTTCTGGGCTATAGAGGAGAAAAGAAAAAGCTTTGGTGACAGATAGATCTTTATACAAGGAACAATCCAGAAGTGGATCTAGTTTCTGCTCAAACGTTTAGCGGTGTAATCGAGAAATAATTATCAGTTGTTTGTAGAATTTGACACCTTCTATGGGGTGGGTCAAAATTACGGTAGCAAGCTAAAGTAGGAATGGGAAACCAATCCATTAATACACACACAACACGCTCAAAAGGGTTACCGAATTGTCACACACAAGGGGTACAAAGGGTTGTGAGGAATATCAAA